CCTCCGTGCCGCCGAAGCCGCTAACCCGCCGCCGCGCGACTCCTCCGCGCCGCCGCCGCCGCGCGACTCCTCTGCGCCGCCGCCGATGGCGTTCACCTGTCTCTCCGCCGCCGCCTCTGTCGTCCCGCCACCAGCGCCCTCCGGTGCAGCCCCGGCGCCATACGGCGCGGTCGTCGCCTACGGCGCATCCAGCGTCACCCACATGCAACCGTCACCGCCCATGGCCGGCGGCCCTGCTCCGCCCGCCCCGTCAACGGCCTCTCTGGGCTGGTGTTACCCGTTGCCGCCATCCGCGCCTCCCCAGCAGCAGCCGGCCCAGGGCGCCGGGTGGGCCCCGCTCTACCCGCAGACTCTCCCCGCGGACCACCGGGGGTCCATCGGCGCGCCTTACCAGTCGATCGGCACCGACTACGGCACCCTCCTTGTGCCGCCGCCCCTCGGTGGTTATGGCCCGCCCGCTTCGGCGCCACCCTACGGGGGCCTCTCACCGCCGCCGGTTCCTGCGTCATGGGACCCCGCCCTCCTCGCCGCCCAGCACTCCGCACCATCGTCGAGTAGCTCTATCAGCGGCGGCGGCTGGTACATGGACTCAGGTGCTACCGCGCACATGATAGCTCATCCCGGTAACCTAACCTCCTCCACTCCCGTTCACACACCCACTCGTATCACCGTCGGCAACGGCTCCTCCTTACCTATCACTCATATCGGCAGCACTAGTTTTCCCTCCACTTCCACACCCATCAATATGTCCAATGTTCCTGTTTCACCAGACTTAGTCACGAACCTAGTTTATGTTCGTCGTCTTACTCATGAGAACCCACTTAATATTGAATTTGACGGCGTTGGCTTTTCTTTGAAAGACGCCCGTACCCGGATGGTCCTTCACCGTTGTGACAGTCCCGATGAGCTCTACCCCGTGCACGCCGGCGCCTCCACCTCCACACCTGTCGCCCTTGCCGCCGGCGTTGACCTTTGGCACGCTCGCTTGGGTCACCCCAACCACACCGTGTTACGTCAAATTCTTAGGAGTTTTTCTTTCTCATGTAATAAGCTCGACGAGCACTCTTGTGAGGCATGTCGCTTAGGCAAGCATGTTCGTCTTCCTTTTAGTGCATCCTCCTCAGTTTCCACTTTTCCGTTTCAATTACTTCATAGTGATTTTTGGACATCTCCCGTTGCGAGTAACACGGACTATATCTACTACTTGGTAATTTTAGATGATTATTCTCATTATGTGTGGACTTTTCATCTTCGTCGTAAATCAGATGCCTTAGCCACACTCACCGCCTTTTATTCCTACGTCACCCACCCAGTTCGGTCTCCCCATACATGCACTCCAAACTGATAACGGAAAAGAGTTTGACAACGTTGGTCTTCGCACACTTCTCGCCTCTCACGGCACCATCTTCCGTCTGACTTGCCCCTACACTTCATAGCAGAACGGCCGCGCCGAGCGCATTCTCCGCACTCTTAATGACTGCGTTCGCACGTTACTCTTTGACTCAAACGTGCCCGCTCGGTTTTGGCCCGATGCCCTCGCCACCGCCACCCTCTTAGTTAACATTCGTCCGTGTCGTCATCGGTGGAACTACGCTCCTCACCACCTTCTCTTCGGTACACCACCGTCCTATGATGGTCTCCGCATCTTTGGGTGTCTCTATTATCCCAGCATCGCGTCCACCATGCCACACAAGCTCGCACCCTGATCCGTCCCCTGCATCTTCCTTGGCTACCCTCCCAACACCAAAGGTTACCGGTGCTATGATCCTGTCACTCATGATGTGTACACCTCGCGGCACGTGTACTTTGTCGAGACGGTGTTCCCTTTTTTCAGGTCCCTCCGGCTGCGGATTCTTCGGCGCCGGCCCCCGCGCCCCCTACCTGGAGCGATGCGCGGCGGCCACCCCCGGCCCGGCGCCTTCTGCCGCCACCTCCCGGGTTCTCGACTCCCTCTTACGAGGTTGAGTCGGTGGGCACCCCGCCCGCCACACCAGCTGGCGCCGCCACCCCTGCGACGGGCTCGACCTCGACCTCGCCCGTCCCTCCCGTCGCCGCGGGATCGGCCGACGCTGCTGCCTCCATGGCCCCCGCCGTCGCTGCCGTTGCGGCCTCTGCCGCCGCCGCGGCAAGTGCCCCCACCACCGCGGCCCCATCCGCCGCATCGGGTGTCGCCGCACCAGGTGCCACCGCCGTCGTGGCCCCTGCCGCCACGGCACCCGCCGGCCCTGCTGCCCTGTCACTTGGCGTGACTACCTGTGCCCGAGCAGGAGTGCTTCGGCCCAGTAAGCGCTACTCCGTCGATGAGTATGTGTGCACCGCCTCGACATCGACGCCCTCACCCGTCCCCACCTCCACTCGTGCTGCCCTTCGGGATCCCCACTGGCTAGCTGCGATACAGGAGGAGTTCGACGCCTTACAGTGCAACCACATGTGGCAGCTTGTTCCGTGACCCCCTCGTGCCAACATCATCTCTGGCAAGTGGGTGTTTCGCCACAAGACTCGCCCAGACGGTTCTCTCGACGCTACAAGGCTCGATGGGTGGTTCGTGGTTTTCGGCAGCGCCCGGGCGTGGACTTCACCGACACTTTCGCCCCGGTTGTGAAACCGGGCACGATCCGCTCCGTCCTTCAGCTGGCCGTCTCGCGCGCCTGGCCGGTGCATCAGTTGGACGTTTCCAACGCCTTCTTGCACGGCCATCTCGCCGAACAGGTGTTCTGTGAGCAGCCTACTGGTTTCGTCGACGCCGAGCACCCCGACTTTGTGTGCTTGCTCTCCCGCTCTCTGTACGGGTTGAAGCAGGCGCCTCGGGCTTGGTACCAGCGTATCGCCGCCTTCCTACAGTCTCTGGGCTTTCGGTCCACTCGCTCCGATGCCTCACTTTTTGTGTATCATCAGGGAGCTGACACTGCATATCTGCTGCTCTATGTCGACGACATCATCCTCACGGCGTCCACCCCCGATCTCCTTCAGCGGCTGACTGCTCATCTTCGTGATGACTTTGCCCTCAAGGACTTGGGGCCCCTGCACTACTTTCTCGGCATCGAGGTGATCCGCCGGGCTGACGGTTTCTTTCTGCATCAGCAGAAGTATGCCCACGAGCTCCTTGAGCGTGCCGGTATGCTTAACTGCAAGCCGGCGCCCACTCCCGTTGATATGAAGGCGAAGGTCTCTGCTCTGGAGGGGTCTCTCGCGTCCGATGGGGCATTTTATCGCTCTATTGTCGGTGCTTTACAGTACTTGACGCTGACTCGCCCCGACCTGTAGTACGTTGTTCAGCAGGTGTGCCTCCATATGCACGCCCCGCGTGACTCTCACTGGAGTCTGGTGAAGCGTATTCACCATTACATACGCGGCACCATGTCCTTAGGACTGACCCTGACGGCCTCCGCCTCCACCGACCTCGTGGCCTACTCGGATGCTGACTGGGCTGGCTGCCCCGACACACGACGCTCTACGTCAGGCTACTGCGTCTACCTTGGGCCCTCGTTGATCTCTTGGTCATCGAAGCGGCAGCCCACGGTCTCCCGCTCCAGCGCCGAGGCAGAGTATTGCGCCGTGGCCAACGCCGTGGCCGAGTGCTCTTGGGGATACGTCAACTGCTCCAGGAGTTGCTTTGTGATGTTCACAAGGTCACTCTTGTCTATTGCGATAACGTCAGCGCGGTCTACCTCTCCGCCAACCCGGTGCATCATCGACGGACGAAGCATATTGAGCTCGACATTCACTTCGTGCGCGAGCAGGTTGCCCTTGGCCGTATTCGAGTTCTCCACGTGCCGACATCGCAACAGTTTGCTGATAAGATGACTAAGGGATTGCCTACTCCCGTCTTCGAGGAGTTTCGGTCCAGTCTCTGTGTCTCCGGGGACGCTTCGACTGCGGGGGGTGTTAAGTATGTGTTTTGTATTGCACGTG